ATTGCCTTTCCACAGTCCAAAGTCAGCAAACATAAACGCATTTTTAAAACAAAGGATAATGGATGCCTATTGCCTCACAGAGACAGGCAAAAGCACCAACAATCCCTGAATAACACAAACATCAAGCACTTCCTTTATTTTAAAATGTTCTATTCACCCACTGCCGGATGACACAATGCAGCAGCAAACTGACACACAAAAAACAAACACCACCTGTGGCCACACTGCCTTTTAATGTCAGTATGTCCCTGCACACTGAAAAACGATCCCACTGCTGCTTAATATTTTATACCATAAGATGCAAAATTCTTAATATTCCTTCCTTGTCTTACCAAACTTGACACCTTCCAACTGTGGCACATTCATTAAGCGATGACAGCGGAAGGCCCCCCACCCCCATGGTCTTTAAATTTTGCAAAGGTACTTTCTCAAACGCTGGTCAAACATGTAGTGTGGGTGGCTGTGGCTTACGAGGTAGGGCAGTCGTCTTCTAACCAGCAAGTTGGTGGTTCGACTCCCGGTCTCCCCGCATGCCTAAGTGTCCCTGAGCAAGACACTGAACCCCAAATTGCTCCCGGTGGTTCGACTGGCGCCAGTGTGCGGCAGCCTCTCGTCATCGGTGTGTGAATGTGTGTGTGAATGGGTGAATGGTGTATAATCTCCTGTAAAGCGCTTTGGCCAGTGTAACACACTGTGAGAAAGCGCTATATAAAATACAGTCCATTTACCATTTACCATGTATGCTATCTCTGCCCCCATTTACAGAGTGGCTCTTGGCTTCCTTAGTGGGAAACGCAACAAGTTCACTCCCTTTATGAATTTACATCCCCAGGCCACTGGCAACCCTTTCTGCTGTTTCCTGACAGTGGCTATTCTCTCCATCTCCCTCCCTGCAGAGGAAGAGGCTCCAGGCTATGCTGAAAATAAGATAAGATATTCAAATATGTGCATGTGTTCACCTACAAGTTTTTTGAGGTCAGCTGAGAACCGTTTTCTCAGCTGGTGAATCAGCCTTCCGAGGTTCTCAGACATCCCTGGCATAGATTGTTTGTGTCAGTCTACATGTGAACAGATATGGGCCTCCCCAAATTCTTACCTACTGTATGTGTGATTGTGTTTTGAGCTCCTGAGATGACAGAGTGAGATGCCAGGATGCGCTGCACCATCTTTTCTCCATGGATGCCCCCAAGCTGTGACTCTCAGTAACAGTCAACAATCCATTGATTGAGCCTCAGAACAGCAGTGAGTCATAAACAAAGAGGGAGAAGGAAACACAGGGGACCATGCTGAGAAACTGAGTGATCTGATGGAAATGGCTTTAAGCAGTAGTGGATAGTTTTGGCCCCTGACAGCCATGCACAGTGTGTTCATGCATATGTGTGTCTAATCCTAGTGCATTCTAAAAATGGTATCCTTGCAGAGTGATGTCCAAGTATGTGCAAATAGGTCATGGGTGTTTGCATCTTTCTATATGACCATGAATGCATGTTTTGATGCTGTTGTGTGCACCAAAGTAACGCATGTAACTATTTTGATGCTGTGTTCGTTAATATCTCTAATGCAGTGAATATGTTTACCCTTAAGTGCTTATACGGTATGGTCTGTGCATGTAGTTATGTGTACAGTATGTGCACACACAATTATAGTGAAGGCTGTACTGATTCAGCAATTACTATATTTTTTACACTGAGAGATGCTATAAGAAAGGAGTTATATATGATCACTCTTCTTTATCATTCCTTCACTGCTTTCTACTCTATCTTTCCTCATCTCTCCCTCTTTCTTCTCATTTTGCAGTTCACACCAGGACCACATTCTTTAGCTATCCAAAGCTATGATTAGCATACTGATTAGCTAGCCTTGTGGGCTCTGTCTTTGCCTTCCTCCAAACTCACATGTAGGGATACAGCCTCATGAATACATAATAGCGCCGTCAGCAAACAAATACATGGTTAAGAGTTTCCAGAGGAGGGAGCTAGTGCACGAGAGAAAAAAATACAAAGCTTTTATTTTTTTCCCCCTTTTGTAATGTAATCAGAAAGTACTGGAGCATTCTAGTGTGATTAGGGTTTCCAACACCAGCTTACAGTAGGAGCAGTTACACCGTCGAGCTGTTGTCATGGGAGCATCTCTATTTTTCTCTCTGCATTGTCTTTTTTATTCGGATTCTTTTCCCACTTTTTTGAATCTTGCTACCTCTCAACCATGTCTTCTTTTTCACCCTCAGCAAGGCTTTTATTTCCTTTACTCAAATCATTCCTCTACCACTCTCTAAGTTTCTTGTTCACCTCCTTCCATTTCCCCTCCTTCTTTCCCTTTTCTTATCAAGGCATCAGCGAGAATATCAAGCCAGTGCCTCTTCTTGTTTCCCCTCTTCCACCACATATATCTCTCTCTCTCTGACTCTCTCTCTCTCTATTAGAAGGGTGTAGGTGAGGACAGTAGATTGTATGAAGCCGGATGTTGATTCTGAGTGATAGGCACCATAAAGTTCACAATCAAAAACTGCCATTGGTACTAACAATAACTATGAAGTACACACCATGCATGCATATTTCTAGTGTATACTGTATTTTTTCTCCAATACTTCATGAGCTAGAGCCATTCAAACCGGTAAAAAGTGCATATTATTCTAGTCCACTAGAGCCAAATAATGGCTGCATGATTCAAGAAAAACTGATGTGAGTTGGTTTGATTTGCACAATTGTATGATACAGTTGTGCATTGTGTAGAGAACTAGAATAAAATGTAGATAAACTGCTACAATTAATCAACAGAAAATTAATCAGCAATTATTTCAAATTTTAAAGCAAAAAAAGTTCAAGTGATGGACTGATAGTCAGCTTCTAAAGTATGAGTGATAGCTGTTTTTCTTTTTGTTACATTATAGAAATGTAACAGGAGAGAGGGCAAGACATGATAAGCGGGTGGAGGGGTCAGAAAAAAAGCCGCTGAGAGAGCAGAGATCCACCCATTATCTATATCGCTTATCCTAACAAGGGTCGTGGGGGGTGCTGGAGCCAATCCCAGCTGACAGTGGGCAAGAGGCGGGGCACATCAGTCTATCACAGGGCTGACACTTAGAGATAGACAACAACACACACTCAGAAACAATAACATGCAGCTCAGACCTTCATCAAAAAAGAGACCCAAAAATTAGAGATCAGTATGTGAAAGAAATTGGAAAGAGAGAAAGAGAAAATGAAAGAACATGTGTTAGAAAGAAAAATCAAATTTCAGGAAAACTAAGCATAAAATAGGGATGAAGTGGACTAAACCATAACAGATGCTATTTTAGTAAAACAAGGTGGTTATGTACCATAACTAGAGGGACTGGAATGTGCAGCTGAGTGGGACATTGAAGGACATAAGAATAAAGTAGGGTAAGATAAATACAAAAAGGAACAAAACATAAAGACAGCACAAAAGAGGAAAGTCAGACAAAATGTAAATGGATGATTAGAAAGACAAAAATCAAACATAAAGAGAGAGCAATGAAATCTTTTGAGCAGAAAATTCAAATAACTGGAGATTTATCACCCCAAAAGACCACAAGCAAAGACAAATGAAAAAGCATAAAGGGTAGAAATAGAAGACAGAAGACCCTGGGGCTTTACTATAACAGACATACCAGCAGTCACAAAAAGTGCTAAGTTACTGCATGTTGAAGTTAAAACACTCAACGAGAAAAACAGATGGCTTTTCAGATGAAAGGTATCAAGCAATTCTGAGCAGTACATGCTGCAGAGGTTACAAAAGAAAGACTGCTGACTGGAACAAACAAGTACCATTCACTGGGCACACACAGAAGATATCCATCAACAAAGGCACAAAAAGACCCCCATCCAGAAGCTTTTAAACCCTCCTCCTGCCAGTGATTAACCTGGGGCCTGTGCAATTGTAAAGCAAACTCAAATCGTATATCCAGTGTAGAAGAAGAAAGAAGGGAAAAAAGATTAACATCTAGAAAGTGAGCATGTAACAAGTCTGTTAATTTCTCTACAACACCAACATAGCTCATTTCCTGGAAGACAAGACAATTATATTAATCATTACCTTGGTGGCAAATAAAATAGCTCAATTTTTTTAAATGGGCTTATCATGGCTATTGCACATAGCCTCTGTTTTTTCACACATAGCAGACTGGAGCACAGTGTGCCAGCTGGATTTCTCCCTCATAAGTGACTCAGATGCAGTTTGAGACTGAGAAGGGAAGCGAGGGAGAGAAGGTGTGATGGTGCCAGAGAACAAGAAATTAAGACACACTCAGCCAGAGAAGTAGCCTTAAAGTGAGAGGGGGAGACTGGGTGACCATGTGTATGCTTGTATACATTTGCCTAATAAGGTTATCCTCAGGCAGTAGTTGAAATGATGTCCAGAGAAAGTAATGTTTGTCCAACTATGCAGGGCTTATTCATAAATACCACAGAAAGTCTGTTTTTATACTGCATGTCTCATGTTAGGTCCTTATCTAACCAGAGTTTAGTGCAGACACTATGACAGATGCATGACCTCAGTAAGTCAGTCTGACAGTAACACAGCCCTCAGCACAAAGATATGTGTGTGAGGGAGAAAGAATGAGAGAATTAAAGGGAGCCACGGGAGACTTAATTAGGCCTCTGGCACACTTAAGTTCATCCTCCTATAAGAAAGTGTTTTTACCAGACAGTAAGACAAACTTCCCTCTTGTCTGAGCCCTCTCTCTGGGTAAGTGCCTGCTCATACCTGTCTGTGTTTTTGCACGAGTGAGTGCAGTAAAGGGGTGCGGGGGGAAGGGGTTAGGGTGCGCGTGCGTTGCCCCTTAACCGTTTGGGAAAAGAAGAAAATGGCACCTCGACAACAAGTAGAATCAACACGCCAAAAGCAACCGCCAGTAGCAGTGGTATAATTTTGTTGTCAAAGCGTGCCGACATGACACTATCACCCACTGCGCACCAGCGCCTGTGACCGACGCTTCCAAATGTCGATATGTGTGGTCAAAAGATGAGCGTGGGACTTACCGCAGTAGAGAACCAGCAACGCCGTCAGAAGCACAACAGCCCAGAAAGTTGATGACATCCTTGGCCAGTGACTGGCATCTTTGCGTCTTGCCAACCTTGACACTGAAGCCATTGAACAAACAGAGCACTTCCGCTTTCAAGAGACAAATAGAAATCAAAGACAGTAATCTCACAATCCAGCTCGGCCACTTACAATGCTCCGCGTGTAATCCTACGAAAAGACATGTCAAGATCGAGCAACTGATAGGAAAGCAGTGATTTGCTCGTTGTGTAGACAGGTTGCCAGTGCGCAAAAGAAAAGGTCACATCTTCCTTAGGAATCCCAGTTGGGAAATAGCGTAGCGTTTTTATAATCGTGCAGAAACACAAGTTAGTTGTCCCAAAGTGTGTTAACCTAAATGTACCCCCTATAGCTTAGTGAATAGGAGGCTGAAGTGCGCTGGTGCCTGGAGATTGCGTTGAGTTAACGCTCAAAGTGTTCAATCATCTGTACCGCAGCGTCGTCAAACCTCCTCTCACCTGTGGTAGGTTTCCTCGATTCTCTCCAGTCCCAGTAGTCACGACAGTATAGTCCAAAGCCCCGGCTGAAAATTTAACGAGGTCCTGTATAATCCGTCTGGATGGATAAAGGAGGCTTGGTCGTAAAAGAAAAAAGTCCCGCTCAGCGTTTGGGCACGAAGTAGATGAAGATCATGCTTGCAGAAAGAAAAGGAGGATGGGAAAATGGATGTGTAGAGACAGAGAGACTGTGGGAGAAAGGAGCGAGAGGAAAAGTGCGCACTGTGCGACTCCAAGAGATTTTGTTCAAAATCAGTCAGATATTCGATATTACGTCAGCAATAAGCCACTTGAGGTCGCGGTTTGCAGAAATATCATAACATCTTGATGCTGTTACACGAAAAAAAATCATTATACATAAAAAAAATCAGTGTGTACCACGGCTCAGCATGCTTCCCCCTTTTTTCCTCTTCTTTCCATAAGATAAAAGTTTAAACTGTCTGGACGAGTATGTTTGAATTGGATTTTGTTGCCATCTTAAGTTTATCATGTTACCAACACTGATTAACCACCTTCACGATAAAGCAATTACCGTCCTTCCTATTCTATTATTCTATTCAGATCAATATTCTGTAGACTTTGTGCAGCAAGGTTACCACAACTGATCCTCAGCTTAAGACTGGGTGGAATGTAACAAAGTACATTTACTCAAGTACCATAGGCCTACTTAAGTAAGGCTGATATACCATTACTTTATGTATGTACTTCCAATTTATGCCACGTTATATTTCTACTCCATACATTTCAGAGCTAAATATGTATTACTCTAGAAAGTCACTTTAGGTTTTTCCCGTTTAGGGGTCGCCACAGCGAATCGTCACACTGACGACTTGCATGTTGACATTTGACACATGTGTTACGCCGGATGCCCTTCCTGATGCAACCCTGACTCGAACCCGGGCTGCAGCTGCGAGAGCCAACATCTGTCTCAGTTTTACAAACAGCTCCAGAGTACAGTGGAGCCATAGAGCTTCAGCACCACGGGAAGAGCCAGTGACCATCCCGTGGACAGATCGTTGGCGAGTTGGTACCATGGATAGCGTCGGCGAGCTCAATGTAGAATACAGTGGAGTGGTGGGGCTTCAGGACCACGGACAGAGCCTGTGATTATCCTGTGGACGTTTCATTGTCGAGGCGGAACCATGAACAGCGCACGTGAATGAGCGGTTGAGCTTCAGGTCTGTGGACAGCGCCCATGATGCTCAGCCCCCATGGCCAACACACTGGAGCCACAGTACCAAGGTGAGCAGGGCCGGCCCGTGGCATAGGCAGTATAGGCAAATGCTAAGGGCGCCGTACATCCAGGGGGCGCCAGAAATGGAGGAAGAAAAAAAGTGTAACTTCCACTATTCTTAAAACTAGACTTCAGAAAAGAATAAGCCCACCACATTAATTTAACTGCATAGCAGCAAAGCCTACTAAGTAGTAGTAGTAGTAGTAATAATAATAATA